AGTAGATTCCTTCCTGAGCATGAATGAGGTATTTCTTCAGTTCATTGTCATCCAGCGGGGGTCTTGCTCTAGCTGCTTCTGACCTCCAACAATGGGCATACTCCTGGAATGACTCTGAGGGTCTTTTCTATATGTTCACTAAAGAAAATTTGTCCGGTGTAATCGTAGTGTTAAACCAGAAACGATTCATGAAGTCCTCAAACATATCCTACCATTCTCTCCAATTTTGGGGATCCTATATAGCATACTAGGTGAGTGCTTCTCCAGTCAAAATTCATATGATTAATTTCATTCTTAGCTTCTCGTTCTTTCTCACTCCTACTAGTTTGTCACAATAGGCCCTCAAGTGAGCGTGGGGATCACCCGTTCCATCGATGATATCAAATTTTGGAGGCTTGTATCCTACCGGCATGTCAACATCTGGATATATGCACAAATCCTCATAGTCTAAGCTCTTCCTCCCTCGAGCGACCTGCAGGTTCTTCATTTGCTTCCTCAGGACCCATTGTTGTTCTAACAACAATTCATCTTCTTTGGATCTTGCTTCCTTTTCCATCTCAGCATACTGATCAATCTCTTAAGGCACCTAAATATGATGGACGCAAAAGTTGGTTCTCTTGCAGTATATACGGGTGGAACGTACCGCTCATAGGTAGAAGTGTGTGCTGCGAGTATATACCGCATATGGTTGTTTGCAAAGGTGATATTATCACGGGGGAATTTGGAGCAAGTGGATTGTGGTTGGGGGATTTTGTGGAGCTTGAATGTAGTTGGGAACATAAGGCGTATGTATGGGAGGGTTTGGTGGACCTGTAGGGGTAACTGGTGGTATAGCTTGAGACATGACAGGGATTGTTATACAAGTATTGGTAGTCGGAGTGCTGGAAGGTTGCCTGGTTGATGAAGGAAAGTGGTTAGGGATTGAGTCTAATGATGGAAAGCGAGGTTGTTGAGGGAGCATCGTCACAGCTAGATGTGCCGGTTCTCGGATTTGTTCTCCTTCCCCTCTTAATGATTCCATTTCTTGCTCCAATCGGGCGACATATTCATTGTTCTGTGTTTCATCTCTTTCTCTTGAACCCCCTTGGATGTCAATTATTGCCAGAGCATTTTCAGTCGGGTTATCTATGGTGGTCATTTTTCCTTTGGACCTTAGGTTATACCGTGGCACGGCCAGTTTAATTACCAACACAAATCAACCTCTATTGGGGGGAATAATAATAAAATAAACAAGCAGGGAAGCAAAACAAAAATAGAAGTTAGCTTAGGAAATGAACAGGTTGTATATGTTGTGATGTGATCCCGAGGATCTGACGTCCCGTCATACTTCAGAATGTCCGGCATCTTGATATTCTTTTGAATTGGAAACGGTGCTACGCTTAATTTCCAAGTTCGTTGTGATTACTTATTCATATTAATTTATTTAACCACAGGTAGAATTCCGAAAATTAGTTCCATGCATTCACCATGCTCTTTGATATATTTATACAAGGTTAGAACTAGGTTTTATAAATTTCAAATATTTGGCAAACCTGAACTTTCCATTTCGGGGTCGTTCGGAAGTCCTTACCAACAAACGCTTCTCCAAAGGCGACCCTCTCGAGTTTCCAGCTATTTCAACTAGTGTCCGAATTTTGGGGAGGGGGTACTTGTAAGATCACCCCTCGGTGATGTTAATGTCATATCACTCACAGCTGCTATTAATCTAATTACGGCCTCGTTAAATTGTTGACTCGATGTCCTTTGTGTATTTATAAATTTTTCTAATTTTTGCAATTCCCAAAGTTTCTTGGCAATCATTGAGGTGACATTTTCCTAGAATGACATGGTGGAGAGTTCCTCGAAAAGAGTTGAGATCTGGTCCTCTGTCAAACCTCAGCAATAGTGCTCCACTATTTTCGTTTTACATAGTTGAACCTCTCAGACCTGGATGTTTTTATCTTGGTTGATTGGTAGATCTCCGACCACATTGATGATTTAAACTTAGCAGAAATCGATAAAGAAAGAAAAGTTGATACTTTTCGATGAATCGCGAAACTGCTTTAGCCCCATGGTGGGCATAAGACTGTTTAACCCAAAATTTGATTTTTGGATTAAAGCAATTAAATTTATTATTGAGGGCTAAAGATACAGGCTCAATCTAGAAATAGCTAAATTTTTATGATAAAATATAAAATAAAATGATGAATTATAAAAAATAAGAGAAAGAGATATTACTTGATCGTTGCTTGGGGCTTGAATGTTTGGAGCCGGATTACACAGAGCTTGTAAGACTGCCTAAGTTGAAAATAATAGAGTTTAAAGTGATGATCGTGATTTTAGAGATTACAGATTGTTTTCGTAAATGAACAAGTATTAGTTTTTATAGTGGGGATTCTAGGTTACTATTTTCTTGAATCATGTGCTATTACACTCATTTATTCCAGCCATTTGAATGACTTGTAATGGTTCATTAACGCTGGATCTTGTAACCCTAGAGTATATATGAAATTTTGGATACTTTGGCCTTTGTCGATCTGTTGCCCTTGTTATCCATGAATTCTTAAATTATTTATGAATTCTCCGGACATTTAACTTCCTTTTCAAATACTTCGAGTTGACCATCCAAGGAGTCTTCTGTCAATCTGGTTTTTTGACTTCCCAAAATTATATTTTGGTCGTTATGTAAGCTGACTTAACACTATTTTCCACATGTATTTTTATGAATGGTACACATGTTAAGCCTATTTTTTATCAAATAAAGTTGATTAGAGCAACAATAATTTAATCCACACTTAGCAGTTGCAAAACACAAAGGAAGGAGCTTTTTTTTTCTTTCAAAATTTGGTGTACAAAATAACATCATTTTAATATGAAGAATGGGATTCTAATAGGAAAGTGCACAAATAAACGATTTAGGATCCTCATTTAAGACAACTAAAATTTATATGTTTATGCACTTCAAAACCGACTTCCGACATACGCAATTAAATTTGCAAAAGTTCGCGTTGGAGTTACAAACTTGTCTAAAGTTTTGGCATATCTCTTGTACGAAGGAAGAGATTTTTTCTTCAAGATGTAGGGGTCTAAAATAGCATCAATTTAATGGGATGAATGAGCTTCTGGTCCAGGGGCAAGTTTACAAATAATTGATTCTGGGATCCTCATTTAAGGCATATCCAAAATTTCTCAAACTTATAAGTTTAGCCATTTTAGAATCAACTTTTGATATACGATATTGAGGCTTTAAAAATTTGCGTCTAAAGTTACAAATATTGTTTGAAGTTTGCCATATTGCTTGTGCAATCAAACTTCGGACATAAGTGTCTGAAGTTTGGCTAGACAAAGCCTAACGTCTTATATGTATGTCTTAACTTGGGGTTGTCTGAAGTTGACATATATGATTGAACTTCAATGAGACTTCATCATATATGACAAAACTTTAGACATGTATGACTGAACTTTGGACATATGTGCATGTTCAAAATTTCGTGTTACATTATTTATAGAAGAAAATATGAATGTAGATTATGCATAGAAACAATCAATGAACAGTCTCTAATGGAGCTTTATTCATTTTGTGGACGTTTGACCTTTGAAGCTCCATGTTTGGCTCTAATTATGCTATAGGTAAGAAGAAAAATAAGAGGAGGATGAGGAGGAAGAAGAAGATCAAGAGAAGGTAGAAAAGGAAGAGGAACACAAAGAAGAAGAAGAGGAGGAAGAGGAAAAAAAGAAGAGGATGAGGAGGAGGAGGAGGAAGAAGAAGAAGAAGAATAAAGAGGGGGAAGAAGAAGAGACGAATAAATTACATCTCAATCTTAATTAAGTCGTGATCAGTTATATGAATTCTCAGTAGCAAGAAGCAAGAGAGAACACATGGATCAAAGTCACAAACATTCAAGCCTTCTCTATAAATTCCAACACTCGAAGATTGAGATAGAAGACAAATCAAATACCGGAGTGTTCAACATCAAAGTCACTTGTTCATGGGATAATTACTGTTCTTGACAGTCATCAAAGAGTTTACAATGAATAAATTAAATCCACATTTAAATTCAAAATTACCAATCAAGATCAAGATTTAAGCCCTTGAATTCAAATTCAATCAAGATCAAATTCATTAAATTCAAGATAAATGCTCGAGGCCCTTGAATTTATTTTTTGGAACAAAGATTCAAAGAAACTATAGAGATTGTAATAGTCAGCATACTTGGGATAAAATACTACACTTGTTATAGTATTTTGTAGTATTGATTATTTTCTTGATGTGAATGTATTATCTTCATATTTTGATGGTATTTATTAAATTAATGGAGTAATTTTTTGAAAATAGTACTTTTGATTTTTATCTACTTCCCTCCATTCCAAAAAGGGTGATACTTTTCGAATTTCAACAGTCAAACTTTTTTACTTTGATCATAAATTTGATCATAGAATCGTTAAATACTTTAATGTAACATTATATATATTTAAAAATTACATAAAAAGTACTATAAATCACAATAATTAACAATTGAAAATATTTAAAAGGTATATAAAAAGTCATGGTGAAAATAAACTCATTTAACTCTCGAAATCCGAAAAGTATAATATTTTGACCAAAAAGTTTACAAAAATAATTTAGGGTCTCAAGAATGGATTTGGTAGATTATTCATTTGCTCTATTATAAAAGTAAGGTCTTCCGCAAAAAAAATAAATGCAACTTGTTATAGATAATATTTTCATACATAAAATAAATATGTGCGGAGGGATTGGGTCTCCTTGCCTTATATCTATTTGGTGCACACATATATCTTTTTCCCATTGGTGATTAAGTAATACTATAAATAAAAAAGAAATAAACAAATGGGAAGTCTATTTACTCTTACATAATACATACATTAATAATCAATTTTAGACCTGTTCAAATCCAGCTCAACCGGGCGTTTGACCTGAAATTAAAGAATATCCACGTTTGAGTGTAGAGGCAGCAAGTTGAAGAAAACAAATGTCGTTGAATTACAGATAAAGAACGAGTCTTGTCTCTATCTTTATTTTCGGCTGAGCTGAGCTGAAAATCCTCCGAATCACTAGTGACGGTGTCCTTCTCTGTCACTCTTATCTTCTACATCTCACTTACCTCTACCGCTTATATATATTTATATATCTTTGTTGTTCCTATAAATTCTCTCCATATTGTTTTATCCGAATCTACATCTCCCTTTGCACTGCGGTCGGAAAATAGCCGCAGTGTTTGTTTCAGACATTCAGCTTAATTTTGGGTAATTCCATTTTACTCCCTTTTCTGATCTCTTTGTGTTGCAGCTGTCTACATTCTGATTCTTTCTTATTAAATTATGAACTTTGTAAACACTGTATTTTTTTTTTTTGTATCTCCATGATAGTGGGGATGATACACTAATTCAGAAGCTGTGTTTCTTTTGCTTTTTGTTTAAAAATATTTATTTTGCATCCTCAACCCCCCCCCCCCTCCCTTCCTTTGACTTTTAAGGGAGTTGTTGGGGTTTTGGTACAGGGATTTTGGCTGGTGCTATGGTGGGTAGGGTAACTTAACACTTCTCTTTTGATCTCTACCGGCATGCCTAGGCGGATCTAGAATTTAAACTATATAACTTCAACTTTAATGTTTTTAACATTGAACCCATTATATTTTTAAAATTATGGATTTATGTCTACCATTTTTGTAATTTTAGTGAATTTTTACACATAAGTTTATACTCAGCCTCAAAAGTTGTGGCTTCAATTGAAGCAGTCACTAGAATACTACATCTGACCCTGTTGGCATGCCTTACTTTTGCTTTGTTCATGTGAGAGGAGTATGTGCCAGGCAGCGGCCGAGTTATCTACTAATTGCTCTCTTATTTTTGGTTTGTTTGCATTTTGCAGCATTTATTCATAAATTTTCTATGTTGTTTAATGTTGAAAGGCTTAATGGTGGTAATTTGGTTTTGCTTTTCGGGAGAATATCTTCTTCATAGAGTGCAGATGAAGTAACTATATATGACTCGTTGTATGATGTAGGGCAGGTGATTCTTTGCTTTTAGACTTGTACAGGATGGAAGTAACAGGAGGTTGAGACCTTTAAATTCTATCGCATTGGAAGGTATTCCTTCAATTTTTGTTATCTTTTTTTTTTTAATAAATCTGTGTCTTTTTACTGAGTAGTTATTCGTTAGTCTTCTTTTGCTAGTGAAAGGTACTTAAAAACATTTACTTTTCTGAATAGGTATTTGGGAAATGCTTGGGGTAGCAGAAAACTTGCGGAAAATAGAAAGTGGTAGCAGCAAGGGTTGTCCGTCTAACAAGTTTTACCATAGAACCCGAAGAAGTGGCATGGAATTTGACTCTGATTGGATCAAGCATAGAAAATCATTGACCTTTACCGCACAAGTGATTAGTTCTTCAACTTCTTTTATCCCTTGGTCTTCTAAGATTGCAATTAGTGAAGGATATCATGAATTTCTTTAGTCAATTGCCAATTTATTCAATTACTTTAGAGAAGAGGCCTGGTCAATGATCGTATCACTTTGTGAAAAAATTGTGGTTTTAAAAAATGCTTGGTGTTGTAAGTGGAAACAAGAGAGTCACTGCATCAAGTATGTGTTCCACAGATTTGAGCCAGCAAGATAGTCTAGGTTTTGGTTCCTTTTTAACTTATAATTATGTGTCTGATGGCCCCATCTTGCCTGGACTGCCAGATGATGTGGCAAAGTATTGCCTTGCGCTTGTTCCCCGATCCGATTTTCCTGCTATGGGTGGTGCCTGCAAGTGGTGGAGGTCATTTCTGCAAAGCAAAGAGTTCATCAGCATTAGAAAGCTGGCTGGTCTGCTTGAGGAATGGCTTTATGTCCTGACTGTGAATGCTGAAGGAAGAGAAAGCTACTGGGAGGTTTTCGACTGTTTAGGAAACAAACACCATCAGCTCCCACAGATGCCCGGTCATATAAAGGCTGCTTTTGGAATTGTAGTTCTCAATGGTAAACTTCTTGTTATGGGTGGTCATTCCATGATTGATGAATCTGGGTCGGTCTCAGCCGACGTTTATCAATACGATTCTTACTTGAACAGGTCTGTCAGTGCTTCTGTTTTTATTTCCTTCTCTTTTTGGGGCGAGATGGACGCATATTTTCAGCTAGTGTGAGGTGGGATAATGCATGAGTAGGAGGTTTGGCGGTGCGGTTCCATATAAGATAATTTAGTTTTCCTCCCCAAAAATAAATTATCTAGCTGACCCAACCTTGATAGAAATTTCTGAATTTTGTTTTCATGTTTACATATGAGAAATGTGTTAGTGGCTGTGATTTGGGTTGTTTACCTTGCTATCGTTTTTAAAAATATTTGTCGCTGATTTTACTTTACTAGCCACTCAACTTCCAAGATATCCCAAATATTTTGCTAACTTCCCTAGATTCTCTCTTGTTTTCATCATTATCAATCACGAGATTTAGGTATGTTCGTTCTTATGCCTTGCTGTAATGTAGTTTTCCTTATTTTTGTGTACTTCCAACTGCCCATTTTCCTAGTAGACATGTGCAGGAATGCTTTTGAGATAGCTTCGCCTTTACCACCAATATAAAAACACTATCAATCCAAGGGTAATTATCATTAAAAAATTGTGCACCTGCGTCTGATTTATGAGTGCTTCAAATAGTGGAAACCCTTGTCATCTCCTTCTCAGAAATTGTTGAAAGGAAAATAGACATTATGGATTTAACAATAAAAAAAATAAAATAGAAAAATAGACTTTGTTGATTTACATTGTGGATCTGTTGGTTTATTTGCATCCCTGGCCGGAGTAAACTTTACTTGGAATTACTAGGTCAATTGACACCACAACTAGACTGGTCTCTTTTGGAAGTAGTAGCTTCTCTTTTATCCTCCCACAATTTCCCTTTATTTGTTGGTAGGATGACAGCCTGGCATAAGTGCGCAATTTGATCTGCTGATTTGAACTGAGTTATAAGAGAACTATCTTTTGATGTTTTGAATGATTCATGTTTCTTTTTTTCCTTTTATATATCTTGGGCAGGTGGAGCAAAATGGCTAGCATGAACGTGGCACGTTATGATTTTGCTTGTGCTGAGGTGGATGGAATGGTTTATGCAGTTGGTGGTTTTGGGATAGATGGAGAATCTCTTTCTTGTGCTGAGGTTTATGATCCAGATCAAGATAAATGGACTGTGATCGAGAGTCTTCGCAGGCCAAGGTGGGGCTGTTTTGCATGTGGATTTGGGGGAAAGCTTTATATTATGGGTGGTCGATCAAGTTTTACAATTGGGAATTCTAGGTCTGTTGATGTGTATAATCCCAAGAGTCACACTTGGGGCGAGATGAAAAAAGGTTGTGTTATGGTTACCGCTCATGCTGTTCTGGAAAAGAAGCTCTTCTGCATAGAATGGAAGAACCAGCGGAAACTATCCATTTTCAATCCGGAGGACAATTCATGGAAGATGGAGCCAGTTCCAGTGACAGGGAGTTCAAGCATTCGATTCCAGTTTGGCACACTGGATGGGAAGCTTTTGCTGTTTTCTCTACAAGGCGATCCTGGTTATAACACCCTGCTATATAATCCTAATGCAGCTCCAGAATTACAGTGGCAGACTTGTGACATAAAGCCATCTGGTGCGTGCCTTTGTACTGTTACAATCAAGGCATAAAAATCAAATTGCAAGAAAGAGTTAGAAGACTCCAATGCATCTATGATCATCGACGCACAAATGTCTGTATACTCGGTTTCTCTTCAGGTGTGATGATCAGTTAACCTGTTAGGTTCCTCTAAACTACTTCAAAATTTGAACTGCTTCTGAATGACTTGTGTTTTCTCTTGCTCAACTTCAATCTGATCTTAGACGGCTTCTCCTATAAATATGGCTTTTATCTTCTGTTAAATAATCCCATAACATGGGATACAACCGAAACTCGATATGTTATTTTTATGTTGTCAGGTTAGGACTGAAACTACTTCTTGAAGGATGTTGTACTCCCTAATAGATATATGCTGTCACCCTGGACATGCTTTCATGTCGTTACCAATTTGTAAATAAAAAAATAATTCTTTTGGTATCTGTTCATGTATTTGATCGGGTTCACCCATAATTTTCAATTTTATACTATTGAATAGCTCATGCAAGAAAACCTTCCTTTTTTTTTTACATAGTATGCTTTGGTTTCTTTAGAAATATCTTTTTCATTTTTCCTATTATTGAGTTCCAAACAGAATCTTATAGTCTAATTATTTTTATCGTTCAAATTATTATACACACATCTATGAGGCGTTTGTAGCGACAAATGATTGTCTAAAACAAATATATAAAGAAGCAATGAATATAGAAGGCTGCTTTGCTGGTTCTTGAGGGTGCTATGTAGTTGAAAGGTGGGAGTTGTAATGCGGAAGGGACAACCTTCAGCATTTTTCAGTAAAGGCCTCAGGGCATAAGCACTAGTTTATGTAACTGTATGAAAAATAAGATGTTTGCTTTGTAACTGCAATCCAGAAGTGGTGGCTGGTGACCATATTTGATGGGTATACATTTTGTAACTGTTGGGTTTTAAGCATTAATATGGCTTAAAAGAGGGTGAATGGGAAATGGAGGGAAATGAAAATTTTAAGTGAAATTTTAAGTTTCCCCCTTGATGAAGGAACATTGTCCCATATTGGAAGAGGAAGAGGTTTTTTATGGGTATATAAGCAATTGCTCTTCTTCTAGCTCTTAAAGAGTTGAGAAGAAGTCAAGCCTCGCGCCGTCGTCGCTCGGCTTCGGCTTCAATGATTGATTGATTAATTTTTTGGATCAAATTTATTTGTTAATAGTAAAATATTAACATTAATATTAAATCCAATCAGTTTTTCGTTTTTCAGTTGTGTAACTGAAAATTAAACTACCCTCTTCAATTTTCCCTCTTTATTGTTGAGTAAATAGCCATTCATGTTATGGCATTTATGTTGTGACCGTTTTGCATAAACAGCCATTCTGAAGAGTTACACCTCTTCAGATTTCAGCCCAACATTAGCTATAAATACAAGTCTATTCTGCTCAGAATTTTCATACGAATTTTTAAGTTTCTCCTCCTTCTGCATTGTTTTAACTTCAAAGATAGCAACAGTAAGTGTGATTTGCTACCGAACTTTGTGTTCGCTAAAACACTGGGGTTTGAAGTACCACTACACCAGTGTGTAATTCGTTCTATCCTGGGAGGAAATAATCCATAACCCTGAGTACTAGGAGGGGATTAAATTCCTTAAGGAAACACTGTGAATTCAGTGGGCTTGCATTAAATTCTGTTTATGTTTTTCATTTCTGTTTATGTTATTTTATTTTCTCCAGAATTATTTTACAAATATAATTTACTAACAAGCTTAAGGAATTTAACCTGTATTCTGTTTTTGTGTTATATTCACTGTTCTGGAGATTAAAAAACCTTCGTGGTTTTACCGTTGGAGATAAAATCTACGTGATTTTAACGTTTGTTTGTGTCATTCTTTTACAGAAATGACTAATGATAATGTAAACCAAGTTGTTCCAATGGTGACTGCCAATGCATCAACAAGCCGAACACCAGCGTTGGCACCGGCGGAGAAACCCGGAAAATTTTTTGGGTTAGATTTCAAGCGTTGGCAGCAGAAGATGTTCTTCTACTTGACTACGTTAAGTCTGCAGAAGTTCATCAAGGAAGATGTTCCTGTTCTGCCCGATGGAACTCCAGAGAATGAACGCTTTCTCGTGATTGAGGCGTGGAAGCATTCTGATTTTCTGTGCAAGAATTATGTTCTTAGCGGACTAGAGGACGATTTGTATAATGTCTACAGTGGCGTGGAGACATCAAAAGAATTGTGGACTGCGCTTGAAAAGAAATACAAAACTGAAGATGCTGGGTTGAAGAAATTTGTTGCCGCCAAGTTTTTGGACTACAAAATGGTAGATAGCAAGTCTGTTATTACCCAAGTCCAGGAATTGCAAGTGATTATTCACGATCTCCTTGCTGAAGGTATAAATCAAATTAATACTGATGTTGAAAGTAGTAATCTTAGTATTTTTACTAACAGAATTTTCATTGAAGGTCTCGTCATCAATGAAGCATTCCAAGTAGCAGCGATGATTGAGAAGTTGCCTCCTTTGTGGAAGGACTTCAAAAACTACTTGAAACACAAACGCAAGGAGATGTCCCTTGAAGATCTCATTGTTCGGTTGAGAATCGAAGATGACAACAAAGCTGCTGAAAAGAGAGGTCATGGAAACTCAACAATAATGGGAGCAAACATTGTTGAGGATACTTCTCAAAATAAGAGAAAGAGGAAGCAGGCTTCTGAACCAAAAAGCAACCCAAGCAAGAAGCGGTTCAACGAAAATTGCTACAACTGTGGGAAAGCTGGGCACAAATCTACAGAGTGTCGTGCTCCAAAGAAAGACAAGAAAAAGGTTCAAGCAAACATGGTTGAAAAGCATGAAGATGTTGATGACTTGTGTGCCATGCTTTCTGAATGCAACCTGGTGGGAAATCCAAGGGAGTGGTGGATTGATTCTGGAGCCACTCGCCATGTTTGTGCTGTTAGGGAAGCCTTTGCAACATATGCTCCTGTTGGACCCGAAGAGACGCTTTCTATGGGAAATGCTGCAACCGCCAAGATTGAAGGATGTGGGAAGATCTTTCTGAAGATGACTTCTGGCAAAGTGGTGACTTTGAACAACGTCCTTCATGTTTTCGAGATTAGGAAGAATTTAGTCTCTGCTGGACTTCTTATTAAGAATGGTTTTAAATGTGTTATTTGTATCCGATAAGGTTGTAATAAGTAAGAACGAAATGTTTGTAGGAAAAGGTTACCTCACTGAGGGCCTTTTCAAGCTGGATGTAATGATTGTTGAGAATAATAATAAAATTTCAGCTTCGTTTTACTTACTTGAGTCAAATGAATTATGGCATATACGTTTGGTTCATGTCAATTATAAACCTTGCGGAAAATGATTAACTTGGAAGCATTACCTAAGTTTGAATGCGACAAATCAAAATGTCAAATATGTGTAGAATCTAAGTATGTTAAACATCCTTATAAGTCAGTTGAAAGGAATTCAGATCCTTTGGACTTAATTCACATAGATATTTGTGATATGAAGTCAATACCATCTCGCGGTGGAAAGAAGTATTTCATAACTTTTATTGACGATAGTACTCGATATTGCTATGTTTACTTACTTAATAGTAATGATGAAGCAATGGACGCATTCAAGCAATACAAAAATGAAGTTGAAACGCAACTTAACAAGAAAATCAAAATGATAAGGAGTGATAGGGGTGGTGAATATGAATCTCCTTTCGAACAAATATGTTTAGAATATGGAATTATTCATCAAGCAATGGCCCCTTACACGCCCCAATCTAATGGGATTGCAGAAAGAAAGAATCGTTCATTAAAGGAGATGATGAACGCATTATTGATAAGTTCTGGTTTGCCTCAGAACTTGTGGGGGGAAGCCGTTCTTACGGCTAACCGAATACTAAATCGAGTACCCCATAGCAAAACACAATCCATTCCATATGAAAAATGGAAAGGAAGGAAGCCCAACTTGAATTATTTTAAAGTGTGAGGGTGTTTGGCAAAAGTACAAGTTCCTAAACCCAAAAGGGTAAAATAGGGCCGAAAATCATTGATTGTGTTTTCATAGGATATGCGACCAATAGTAAAGCATATCGATTTCTGGTTCATAAATCAGAAAATCCCGACATTCAATATAATACGGTTATAGAATCAGATAATGCTGAGTTCTTTGAAAATATATATCCGTATAAAAAGGAATGTGAGTCGATTGGTGAAGGATCTAAACGACCTCGGGAAGAAACAAAAGGAAGTACATTTAATCAGGAGGATCCAAGACGTAGTAAATGTCAAAGAACGTCTTCTTCATTTGGACCAGATTTTGTGACTTTCTTGTTGGAAAATGAGCCTCGAACATTTAAAGAAGATATGTCTTCTTCGGAATCATTGTTTTGGAAAGAGGCAGTCAGTAGTGAAATAGAATCCATATTGAACAACCATACATGGGAATAGGTTGATCTTCCTCCTGGAAATAAACTTTTGGGTTCTAAATGGATCTTTAAGAGGAAAATGAAGGATGATGGTACTATTGATAAATTTAAGGCAAGACTTGTAGTCAAAGGGTATAGACAACGAGAAGGTCTTGACTACTTTGACACATACTCTCTAGTTACAAGAATTACGTCCATATGGATGTTAGTAGCATTACCTGCGGTGTATGGTTTTGAAATTCATCAAATGGACGTTAAGGCGGCCTTCTTGAATGGAGATTTGGAGGAAGAAATCTACATGGAACAACCTAAAGGGTTTGTGGTTACAGGTAAAGAAAAGAAGGTCTATAGACTTGTTAAGTTCCTTTACGGACTAAAACAAGCACCCAAACAATGGCATGCGAAATTTCACCAAACAATGTTGTCAAATGGTTTTAAGATAAATGAATGTGATAAATGTGTGTACATTAAAAATGTTCCAAATCACATAGTCATTGTTTGCTTATATGTGGACGATATGTTGATAATGAGTAATGACATTGCCAACATAAATGCTACTAAGCGTATGTTAACTAGCAAGTTTGATATGAAGGACTTGGGAGTTGCTGATTTAATTCTGAGAATTAAGATCCATAAGACTCCTCAAGGTCTGGCATTGTCACAATCTCATTATATTAAGACAGTACTTGAAAAATTCAAGCACTTAGGGTTTAAATTTGCAAAGACTCCAATTGACGTGAATCTTGCATTAGCTAAGAACAAAGGCCAAAGCATATCACAATTGGATTATGCTCGTGGGTTGGGATGCTTAATGTACATCATGAATTGTACACGACCAGATATAGCTTGTGCTATAAGTAAATTGAGTCGATACACAAGCAATCCAGGTCAATCTCATTGGATGGCAATGAAACGTGTTTTGGGATATTTAGAACATACCCAGGGCTTTGCTTTGCACTACAGTAATATCCTGCGGTGAATGAGGGATACTGTGATGCAAATTGGATCACCGGTTCAGCTGATTCTAAGTCCACAAGTGGATATGTATTCACTATTGGTGGAGGAGCGGTATCTTGGAAGTCGTCCAAACAAACTTGTATTGC